CACAAGGTATTCATTAAGGGAATTCAACAAGATAAGCAGAACAAAGATGATCTTAAATCAAAGGATTTCTATTTGTCTAAGAAAGCAAGCCTCAAGGTCAGATCTCTTCAGTTAATAACATTTTATTACTTCAGCTATGTTTAGCCACTTTTGAGTGACCTTTGTTTTGTTAAGCTTACAGCTACAGCATCTCATTTGCTTTCCTGTTGTGTTTGCAGCTTCAGGTTTGTTCCAGGTATTTGTGTTTTAATATGGATTGATTTGCTAATTGGAGAAGAGCACACTCTAACATTCCCTTTCTTGTTCTCTGGGCCAAAGCTCTTTAATAGAGATTTTTTTTTTCATCTACTATACCAAATACAGGCGCACACACAGACGTTAAGACAAATACTGTTCTTGTGCACTAACATAGCTGTGTGTGTACCTTTAATGGCAATGCCTTTATGCAAATATATGTACCTAAGTATACAGAGCCTAAGTTACCACTTCAACAACTGGGAAATTAGTTCCTTCCATACGTAAAATATATAATGCATATATATATATATAAAAATAAACCACAACTGTCTCTTCAGTCTGTTAAGGTAGAGGAGATAAAAAAGGTGATTTGGTTCTAATCCTTTAGCTAGCCCAAATTCCCTTTGAAATGAGAGAGGGTTTTGAGGGCACAAAGAATGTATGGTAGAGCCTATTGTTTTTGCAGATACTGCCTATCAAAATTAAGCTTTTAAGGCAGTTGTGCAGTTGTTTGTGTCAAACTGTTGTACGAACATTGCAATTGAGTAGTCCCAATGTAGTGTCAGAATATGGAAATGGCAGAAAGGTACTAATTGTCACAGTATTTTTTTAGTGTCATTGCCATATCTCAACCTTCAAATTGATGCCAAATGAAAAGAAAAAAGACACTTTTAATGTGTAATTGTTTGACTGTTACGTTGCCACTTTGTAATTGTAATATGTTCTACTGATCCTTCTCCTTTGAGGAAAAATTAGCATTGTTTTCCTCTAAAAATGAGTTACTTTCATTAATTTTAGTAAAGATTAACTGTGTTCTACAAGAGGAGAAAAGAATTCATTACCCTAGAGTGATAGTCTGCTCTGAAGTCTGAGCTGCAGATTTCTTTTGCTGATTCTACACTTGTGCCTTACTGATGCCAGGATGGTCAAAGTGCAAGATATGCAATAGGCGTAAGTGCCCAGGATCAGGTGGAATATTACTCACTTTAAATCAGATCTGTTACTAATCCTGCAAACATTTATGCCGATGAGTAACTGCACGCCTTGTCCTTGCTAATACAAGCACACACTCAACTCTACACGTTATGGCTGTTCTCAGAGCCCATAGAGATAGTAGGTGTATGGAGTTGCACATATGAAAAGTGGTTTATGTTGCCACGCCAATGAGCACTCCTGGTAACATCGACAGGATTGTCACTTAAGTGTAGTTACCCCCAGGCATCAGGGTATGCAGGATTTTCTCTGTTAACAAGGTGTTGGGAGGATGAATGTGCTACCTGTGGGGTTGAAAAGAAAGCGCTTTGCCTAACCTTCAGCAGAATGTATTGTATAAGCATATTCTATGTGTAAAGTCTTTAAAGATGTCTTCAAAGAAGACTAAGAGTCTTTAAGTTCAATCATAGCTATATTTTACTACATTAAATTTCTGTATAAAGATATATTTAAATGTTTTAGATAAATGTAAGTTACTCTATATGAAATGTTTAATGTCAATTACTGTGAAATTTACATATTTTGTAAATTCTTTTCCCTGCTTTAACCCTTTCCTTCCTCAGATATTTTATTAAGTAGTTTCTCATAGGAAGTATTAGATTTGGTTGTTGGGATGGACAGGTTGAAAACTTTTATGTGAAATAGATAATTGTATATTTTTGAGAGAAACATGCTGCATTATCAATGTTTTTTATCAAAAATTTACTCTAATTTTAAAATAATTTAGAGATTTATATTTGCTGTTGGATAAACCAAAAATATATAAAGATCAAAGACTCGATTTGTTGACTTGTAGTTGAAATACAGTTTAAATTAATTAACTGAACTTGGTGTACTCAGCTGTTTAATTCAGAAATTGTAATCAATCTGAATTAATTATCTGTTGGAGGTTACCAAAACATTAAGTATGTAATTATTTAGTAGATGGAACAGCCATTTCTGGTTCAATAGAGAGAGGGAAAAAGAGAACCAAACCCGGGCATTCCCAGCTGATAGCTTTATTACAAAAATGTGTAGTACTTTACAGCAGGTGTTAAGCTGCCTGCAGTTCAGAGTACTGATATACCTATAAGCTCTGCTTTTATAGCAGCCACTTGTCTCTTCTGCAAGTTTGTGTGTGTGGTGTGGCAAACTCCTGAATGCATAACCACAAAGCCACTGCTTCCCACCTCTGCCAAACCTGGTCTTGCCAGACTGGACTTCACCTGGCAGATAACCGCAGGATGTGGGAGAGCAGTGAGACACCCCTGTCCCAGTGGAGGACTTTACAACAGGGCTTCGGAGAGGCGGACTCGGTGGTAAATTTCAGTATGATGGAATTGACTGCAAAGGAACTTCTTATATAAGAACGGGAGGATTGGGCTTAAAAGGGACACGTTCTGTCTGTAAAAGCTATTAGTAACAAACTTAAACGCCACGGTAGACTGCTTGTTGTGTCATGTGTTGTCTAATCACTAACTCTAACCTTTTACAGCGTTTGGTTTTGGACATTACTGTATTCATGTTTCAAGAAGTCAGATCTTTGTGTTAGGCTGGTTTTGTAGCATTTTCCACATGGAAACAGATTTTTCAGAATGTCTGTAGATGTTGATGATTGTAACCTTCCCCCTGCCCTTTTCTAACTATTTCTCTCCTGTATGTACTGATCTTTCTGTTATGTATATCTACCTCATGCTTCACAAGAAGACTGTACTGTTGGTTGTGCTGACAGCCCTTTGTGTGAGGCGACTGTTGCCCTGTTGTTGTTTGTCATTTGTGGGGATGTTCACAGTGTTAATCAGATCTCTGCTGCCATGTTCCTACCAGTTCCTAACACAATATTCTTACCTTTGAATAAATAAGTACATTTCTTTAAGATCCAAGTGCCAGATGCTTTTTTAAATCAAAGAATGGGAGAAATGTACTTGCTAATACCTGTGGCCAGTCTGAACACCCCATTTGTATTTCATATTACATTCAGTATTTTTGAGACTTATGGAAATGCATAGTTGTACAGTTTTGATAACCACAGTGTCATGTCATCTTAGTCTCTTGTGCATAATAAAGTATATATCAATTTATTAATAATTGATGCCCTCTTTCATTTCTTTGAAGTTGTACAGAGCCAACAGCAGTAGATCAAGTTCTGTCTCATTGCCATGTCCTCGTGTCACATAAACTTCAGTGGGAATTGTGTATCTTAAGGCAGGATTTGATTTTGTGTGACCACATCCATTTTCTGCTTTCTGTGTCCCTTTATCCTTTGGCTTTGGGTGACCTCTCAGTATCATGGCTTCTTGCATAAACCAGTAGATATATTTAGTTAAATGCTGCTGTTCTTCACTCTGATTTGAAGTCCAAAGCTCTGATCCTGCAGACGTTTAGTTGTTGCATGTTGAGACGCAGCCTCAGTCCTGTCCTGCACGAAGCCTGGCTTGAGCACAGTCAAGCCTAAGGGTGTGCTGTTAGTCCTGCGGCTGAAGCAGCAGAGCTCCCTGGGGCTCTGGTACCCTTGACTGCAAGTGCACTGGAGACACGAGCGAGGCTGAGATGTGTTTTCATTGCTGAAGGGTCTTCCTGTGCTAGAGCAGATAGCTTGGCCATATATCTGCAGGGCAAGGATTTGGGTGTTTACTATCCTGCATATTGCTTTCTTTCCTGTATTTCATGTGCAAAATATTCTTTATGGGCACTCTGGGGGAGACAACCGCAGCAGTATTTCCCTGGATTATTCAACGGTTGTGGTTATTAAGTCACAAAAGAGAGTTCCCTAAGAAAGGGATCTAAAATGTTTAATGATCACATTTAAATATCAAGATTCCTTCAGTACAGAAAAGGCTATTAATTAGAAGCAGTTGTAAGCTTACATGTTACCTATGACTTACAACTCACAGACGTGCAATAGATTTACTGCTTCACAACAACCATATTTCAGTTTCTGCATTAAGACATTTTTTTGCCTTTGGAAATGAGCTCTGTAGAGCTGTCAGTGTAAAGATACTTGAGCTGTTCTTCACCTTTAAGATTTGTATTTTGACTGAAACATGGTGTGAAAGCATGATGTGTCTCATATGAGGAACTGATTTTAAAAGTGGTTATTAGCCAACAAGTTGTCATATATTTGCATGAGTATTTTTGAACATTAAGAAGTAAGAGTCTTACCATATTACAGAGTAAGCATCAATGTTGTGTGTGTTTGTTTCTGCCAGGCATTCGTGAGCGAAGCAAACATTTTAGAGAGTCAAAAAATATGAAGTGCCAGGGCCAGGAAAAACACAGTCCAGAGCTCTTCCATTTTAAACAGAATTAAATTTATCACAGTGTTCCCTTCAAGACAATATAAAAGGAAAAGGAGCCAACATTTTGATACATTTTC